CAGACATGATGTCTTTATTATTTCCGATAGATCTTTTATTAAATTGAATAGAAAAACTAACAGATTGTTTTATGACACAAAGAGATACTGCACCACAACGTAAAATAAAAAGAGCATGAGTTTCGCTCAATGACAGATAGTGGAATGCATGACCAGCAAAAAGTACATATCATGGTCTCATTTGTTTTCAGTAATCACACCAATATGTTAAAAATCGATTTCAGATATCTCACAAGTGATACTTGTGGTACAGATTTCCCACATTTTAAACTAAACTATACAGGGACAGATTTCCTAATGAAATACAAAAGAAAATCTAATACAGAACTTCTACTTTTCTAAAGTGCAGATATGGAATAGAATTAAAACCTCATTCGACATTCAACAAGGTCAGTGCTTTTCTTCCTTTGATTCAAATAAACCTGTGCATGCATCTGCAAAAATTAAACCCAACTTCTATAACATACTGATCACAGGTCTGCTCAAAAAAGTCCAACAAACAATAATAGCTTGTCTTGTAAAGATGACTGTTGCAAGAGATTAAACAGGAGAAAAGAAAAGAGCTGAAAACTGTTCTGTGAAACCAGTTAGCACAACGGATTTTTATTGACATTCTTTTGACAGCTTGTGTTGAGAAATGATGAAATGATTGAGATGTGGCCCTGGTCAAGCTCCCACATCCACAGACTCTCTGTTTCTTATTGCACAAACAAATTCAGTGACGTTGTATTCAGCACTGAGACTGAGACTGAGAGAGACAGTGTCTCTCGCCCTCACTCTGCAATGTTACTCCTTTGCTTTAACCCAAGTCACCATATTCATTTTACTATTACTATTTGTTTTATGAAATTGTAATTACATTTTTCACATATTTTCTCCCTGAATGTTTATTACGTGTATTATTTCTTTAGTTTTTCACCTGTGTGTTTTCATTCTATGTAAAACATTCCCTGTTTTCAGTAATTAATTAAATAAAAGATACGGCTTGATAGTGACACAATTGTCATGGTGTCTTGTTTATTGACTGCATGCGTTCACTTTAGGTCAGTGTAACGTTGAAACAGCATCACCAGGTTATCCATTACTGGTGGCTTAGCACACTCCCATTTCAAACAAGCAGGGAGGTAGAACCACCAAATCATCATGTCTGATGTTTTCACTCCCTTTCCGGTTGCCTGATTTCTTCAGAAAAATAGAGCATTAAAGGACAGCCCACTAAAGAGAGCAAGACAGAAGGCAAGAAGGGAGAACTGGACATCACTTATGGCTAAACTACAAAAGACAGTTTTTATTCTGACATTCTGAGTTGAGGGCTGGAGAAATCTGGACTAAAAAAAAAATCTACTACCTGTTTGAATTGTATAGAATTAGGACAATCGGCATCCTTGTAACAGAACTGTAACTGTGCCTTTTTGCCAGCTGAGGATGGGGGAAACAGAAGACTCTGGGGTGGAGAGACCCAAATGGGACAACAAGATTCAGTACCTATTAACATGTATTGGCTTTGCAGTGGGACTTGGAAATGTGTGGCGTTTCCCCTACCTGTGCCAAATCTACGGAGGAGGTGAGATGCTTTTATATGATGCTATTATGTGAGCTGCATTACACGTCCCCAATCATACATCATGTTTTTAGTTTAATTAAGTACTTTATCACTTATGTTATTTTTTTCACTGTATTCCGTTTTTATTTTTTTTAGATTTTTTTCAAAGAAGAGATACATTAATGTTGGCCAAAACTGAATTGCAACATTTTGGATTCTCTTCCTCAATATGATTAGTTATTAACAAATGGACTTGCTAAGCCATTCTGGAAATGGTAAATCTTATCCAAGTTTGACTGATCTCCTCAACTGCCCATATTCCTGGATTTACTTCCTCATAGTTCCCAGTGAGATATCTTGAGTCCCAAGCCACAGAATAAAGTGAACTTCACATATTGACTCTGAGATTTGTGATTGCCACAGGCAGGGTTACATTCAGCCTCCATATGACCTCAACTTAGGGATCAATTAGTACCTTTAGCCTTAGATCTGTGTTATTTGAAGCAGTGGTGATTTAAAATACTGTTTTTTTACTTTTATTTTACTGACTCATGTTTATGGTCACTTGGAAACTGAAAACAAATAAAATAAAAAAATAACAGTGACAACCTAGTGTTAATGGATTGCCGTGCACTTACTAAGCACTTGAGATTAAGGTAATAAAAAGTAGTTTCTAAACTTTCTCTGCATTTAGTCTAATCTGGTTGATGTCTAACTGTGAGGTAAATGTTTACTTAATGTCCTCAGGTGCATTCCTCATCCCCTACCTGATAGCTCTGGTGTTTGAGGGCCTCCCCTTACTATATCTGGAACTGGCTATAGGACAGAGGCTCCGTATGGGCAGCATCGGCGTCTGGAACTCCATCTCACCGCTGCTGGGTGGAGTCGGTGTGTGGCCTAGAATTAATAGCAAAATGTATTGTGTGTGTCTGTATTTTCATTTGTCTCATTGCGGTAAGGAAAATGTTGTTGATAGTTCATTTCCTGCGCGTAGGAATTGCCTCCATGTTGGTGTCATTCCTAGTGGGCATTTTCTACAACACCATCCTGGCCTGGGTGCTCTGGTACTTCTTTCACTCTTTCCAAAACCCACTGCCATGGAGCCAGTGTCCACTCAATAATAACCACACAGGTAACAAGAAAACCCACCAGTTACTCTAGCTGCTTTTGAAACATCTATTGTCACACACTGTGATTGTTGCTGCATGTAAAAATCTAATGTATCAAATTCAGTTTAAGAGGTTAATATAATTACAATAAAGTTAGAAGATTATCACCAAGAGGAGTGGTTAACCGATTTAATAGGAAAACTAACAGATTGTTTTATGGCACTGAGAAATACTGCAGCACAGTATAATATAAAAAGAGCATGAGTTTCGCTCAGTGACGGATAGGGGAATGCATGACCAGTTAAAAGTGCATTTCATGATTTCATTTGTTTTCAGTAATCACACCAAGATATCAAAATCGATTTCAGATATCTCACAGGTGATACTTGTGCACATTTCCCACATACAGAAACACATTTATTAATGAAATACAAAAGCAAAAGAAAATTTAAAAGTACACGAGGTTAGTTCAAAAGGTAATGTGTGTTGAAACTAAAACGAACACTAATAACTTAAAGATTAAACCCTCGTTGAAGTTTATAGATTTAATGTTGTCATTGTTTGTTGCTTGTGTATGCATCCATATAGGATATAATGTGGAGTGTGAGAAGAGCACTCCAGTGAATTACTTCTGGTACCGTGAGACCCTGAACATCACACCTGACATCGAGACCAGCGGCTCCCTGCAGTGGTGGTTGGTCATCTGTCTGGCCAGCGCCTGGTGTGTGGTCTTCATCTGCTTCATCAAAGGCATCGAGTCCATGGGAAAGGTCTGTTTACCTGCAGAAAAAGAGATAAAGTCCTATTTTTAAAATCAGCCACTTGTGATCACTGATAATTTAAGGTAGGATGTAGAAAGAAAGAGTTAATGAGAGCTGTTTCATATTCTTTACATGTTTCAGGCTGTGTATGTCACAGCCACATTCCCTTACCTGGTGCTGACTATTTTCCTGATCCGTGGCCTCACTCTGCCTGGAGCTACTGATGGCCTGTTATACCTCTTCACTCCTGATGTGAGTTTGGTCATGTGTTGCTACTACAGGTTATTAAGCTTGCATCATCACCTGATTTGTTGCTTTCACGCTCTGTAGTGGGAGATACTGAAGAACCCTCAGGTGTGGCTGGACGCTGCCACCCAGATCTTCTTCTCCCTCTCTGTGGCCTTCGGAGGTCTCATAGCTTTCTCCAGCTACAATGAAGAGAGGTAAGGACGGAAACGATCTTAACTAAAATTAGGATGATTTGTGCCATGACATACAAAGCTGTTTTTTGTGGGGGTGGGTGCCGTGTCCATTAGAAACAACTGTGAGAGGGATGCTGTTCTAGTAGGAGTAATAAATAGCGCGACATCTCTCTACGCCTCGATTCCTATCTTCTCCATCCTGGGATTTAAGGCCAACAACGCCTTCAACTCCTGTGTAAAGGAGTACGTATGCACACATATTCTAATTTTAAAGCTTTTTTTTCTTGCTGATACCAATAAGGCAGATATTTTTTTCCGTATCCAATCTGCAGAAACATCTTGGCTATAACCAACCACTTTGAGCTTGGAGACCAGAACGTAACAGTAGAGAACTATGATGACTGGTTTCAGTATCTAAATCATACATTTCCAGATAAGGTGACCAGTTTGAACCTGAGGCTATGTGACCTGCAAACATTCCTTGACCAGGTACTGTAACTTTGATAACACACCCAGTCTTGTACATTGCATTATTTTTGTAGGAGTCTAAGTTTTCATATTCCCCATCTCCCTTAAATCCCAGTTGTTCTCTGCTCTCGCCTCCCTTTTCTTTCTTATGTGCAGCACATGATGTGCCGGTCAAACATGTGAAGTCAGTTCATGCTCCCTCATTACTTTCTTGCCTCTCTTTCATCTGCCTCCACAGAGTGCATCTGGTACCGGCCTGGCTTTTATAGTGTTCACTGAAGCAGTGAAGGAGATGCCAGCCTCGCAGGTGTGGGCCATATTGTTCTTCATCATGCTCTTCAGCTTGGGCCTGTCCTCCATGTTTGGAAACATTGAGGGAGTCCTCACGCCCATCAACGACCTCAAACTGGTGCCCAATTGGATCCCTAAAGAAGTTGTAACAGGTACCTGCAAATCAGCATAACTTGTAGCTCAAGTCGAGAGGATACATTTTTTTCCCCTTTGGATTCCCACTCTGAAAAACTTTTTTTCTCACTTCCATAGCAATCATCTGTTTGGTAGCCTTCTTGACGGCTCTCATCTTCACTCTGGGTTCAGGGAACTACTGGGTGGAGGTCTTTAACGGCTACGTGGGCTCTGTGCCTCTGCTCATCATTGCATTCTTTGAGATTACTGGAGTCATTTATGTCTATGGCATGAATAAGTACATTTTTCTCCTCTTCTTCAATACAGTCTAACTCTATAATGCCTTATGACAGTCATATGAAATTTTGATACCCGCTTTCTCTAATATTTTCTCTGGTGCCCTTCTTCTCTGACAGTTTCAGTGAAGACATCTATTTCATGATTGGGTCGAGGCCCAACATCTTCTGGAAGACGTGCTGGAGGGTGATCAGCCCTTTAATGCTCCTGGTGGTGTTGATTGCATATGTGGTCATCCAGGCACAGACACACCCCACATATGCCACATGGAACCCAGCTTATGTAAGCCAAAGTCAAGTGTTATGACAAGGAAATGTTAATAATGTAGAATATATCTATCCTAAATATTTCCATGTCAATAATGGATCAAATGTATATGAAACGTTGCTCATACAGACAACTCCACAAACTAGTGCCCAATTTTGCAGTTCTCTGGAGCTCTAGAGTGATTTAGCAACTGTTTTGGTTCATTCTCACATTAGCATAATTTTCAGCCACAGGAGGCGGCTATTTGCACCAAAAACTCTGATAAACCACCTTTACTTTACTACAAACAGCAGGCAAAACTCAGAGACTAGCTGGTGAACACTGTGGAGCATTTAGCAGCTAAATAGGTGGTAAAGAATAAACTACAAAGTAATGCACGTTTAAAGGAATAGTTTTACATATTTTAAATTATGCTTATTGGCTTTTTGTTGAGAGTTAGATGAGAAGAGTGACACTCTCTATGTATGCTAAATATGAAGCTAGGGCCAGAACAAAATTAGCTATGGAAGGAGAAAACAGCTTGCTTGGCTTTTAACAGTTTTATCTTCTGTTTAATCCAAAAGCAAAAGTAGAAGTAAAAGTTAGTTGTGGATTCAGTGTTGGGCAGTAACGCATTAATGTAATAATATTACTTTTCCCAGTATCTAAGTAGTGCAACTGATTACTTTTCTAAAACGGTAATATTATTAGTAATATTATAGTTACTAAGGCAAGTAACGCTGCGTTACTCGTTACTGAACACACCATAACGTTACTTGACGTAAATCCACGACTGTGCGGCAGCTCAGCTGTACCGGACTTTGTTGTTTCATGTCCGCTGACAGCCAAACACTAAATGAAGAAAGGCGAAGGAGGGAGAGAGGAGTTCTTTCCACAGCTGTAAGTAGCTGCTGCCATTATTGTGTCACAGTCCAAGATGCAAAGAACACTGTCGTCTAGTGTAAACTCTGTCCCAGCAGCAAAAAGCTTTCAACCGCGAACAGTTACATCTGATTTATTGAAGCATCTGCTGAAGCAGCACAGCAACGTGAAACTTACAGAAAGTCCAGCAGCTGCTCTCACTGATGCTCGGACTCGTCGGGAAAGAGTGGCGTTAATGTAACGTTTTGTAACTACTGAATACTGCTATTATAAACAGGCTACATGTGCAGAAAAACCGCTGTTTAAAAGTCGGGATTTACTTGCTTTATTTTTTTTATTTCAGCCGCTGGCGTTAAGAAACGTTAGTCTAGGCTATATGCTCTGTAACTTAAATACCACACTCCTTGCTGCTGTCATGGATATGATCTTAGTTAAAAAGTCGAGGGAGACTGCTTTGTTTGGGGGTGAAGGGGGGTGGTAGTGAAAGCAGTGTTTCCCATAATTAGCCAATAATTTGGATAATTATCAACGCAGACATAGGCCTACGGATTTTCCAATTTTTTACCAGGCATATTTAAAATAATTTTGTAGCTGTACTGAGCAGAGCCGTTAAATACTGAGGAGCACAAACCTGTCCAACGTCCCCTTCTGTGGGAAACACTGGAAAGTAATATAGTAACATAACTAGTAACGTGACAACTTACTTATACAGTAATAAGTAAAGTAATACTATTACTTTTTGAAGGAGTAATAAGTAACTTGTAATATATTATAATTTCTGCGTAACTTGCCCAACACTGGTTGTGATCTTATGGGGGGTTACATGCTAGAAGTATTTCTTATTTGGACTTAATTAGGCTAATGGCTTGCTGGCTGTACCTTCATATTTAGCACAGATTCATAAAGGTAGTATTGATTTTCTTCTCTCTGGAATAAGGCCACTAAGTGAATTTCACAAACTCTTTTTCACCTTTGTTTTAAAATTAAATAATGTTCCAGTATTCTGCACATATTATTTCACGCTTCCTTGTCTCTTTTTTCAGGAACTATTCCCCCAAACTGAAGTGAAGCCCTACCCAGACTGGGTGTTTGTCATAATTGTCCTCCTCTGTGTACTACCGGTGATTTCAATCCCTCTGGTGGCTCTCTACCAGCTGATCTGCTGTACAATCATGCAACCCTCTGCTCGTACTGACCAAAATACCTACTGCAATGATGCCTTTGAGGAAATACAGGAACAGGGACAGAGAAAGCAGAGGGCTTAAGAATTGCTCCAAGAAACAGTGTTACCGTGATCGTGAACAGAAAAGAACATCCTGGTGGTTCTCACGGCTACTACTTTACATAATAAAACTTTCCTATTGATTTTTGATGATTTATCAAGACCCGACCTGATGTGTGACCTCTCACATTTGTTTCCTTAATAACAAAACTGGATTTATTTAACAGTGAATGTCCTTTGTACATTGTGTACATGCCATACTGAAACACACAACCAGTATTTGATTACACATTTACAAAACCTTACATTTGAACATAAATGTAGTCTTAACATCATTTGATCTTAAGCTTCCTGCTGTTCATTGAAAGAACTTTGATTTCTGATGGCTTTATCATAAGTGTACTACATCAAACCTGAAAGCAAATTATCTAGTAAAAAAAAACCTTTTGACTTATGCATGTGATGGCTGACAATGTCGCTGTGAATGTAATTACTTAACAGTTATTTTCCAAATGATGTCACTTCTTCTTTGTGGAAAACTACCACAAAGTATAAATCAAAGTCCAGAGAGACAAGCAGCTGTGGGATGAGATGGGGGTCTAGTACAGTAGCTGGATGTTTTTCAAAAATCCATCTTTATTGATCTTGTGGTTGCATCATACGGGAGTGTTTATGACCAGGGTTTATCACTTAAATGTTTTATATCTTGTTGACCCAGGACTGTTTTCTCTTACAACACTATAACACACTGACAGATCAGCTAAATGGCTGATTTCAACACATTGCTCATCTCACTTCCTCGAAACCTGAGGATGCAGAATAAAAGGTTTCAGTCAATATTTTCAGTTGCTTGTTATAAAAATAGACAAAACACGCAACATGAACATTTTAGAAAATCTGAACTAATACCTTTCAGCTGCTGAGGGTTTCTTGGTTGTGTTGGCAGCTGTGATTAGGGCTTGATGGTAGTCTACATTTGGATGGCCAAGAAGTCGACTGGGGTCCTGGGGTTAGTGGCCTGACGGACCCTGGCAAGCCTCAGATCCCCCAGACGCTGCTCTAGACTGCGCTTCCCTGTCACGAGGATGACAGCAGGTGAACTGTTAAATTCATCCATCTGAAAGTTTTCCAACACCTCTAAAACTGAAATAAAAGGCAGCAATAAAATGACTTGTCGTATGTAAGATCATGGTGATATCCATGGGGTATCAAAGGGATTTGCCTTGCTGGCAAGATGCAAATAGAATGTTTTCATATTGTTGATTTTTTCAGTGTTTTCTGAGGGAGATTAAGGGCTCAATTTTCCTGCAGGCGCACAGTCAGCTGTAGCACAAGATCACTCCTTATGCAAGTTTTCTAGTGCAAATGGATATTTGCATCAAAATACAACTTAAGGAAAGAGCCTGTAATGGGGCAGAAGAATACACGAGGCGTATGTACAGTGTAATATCATCTATATGTCACTGAGAGTAATCCAGGGCCATAGCATTCTGCAGAAACGTCACTACTGGCATTAGGTTTGACCAATGAGTTTCCCCCAACAACTTGTAGAATGCTGGATCTTTTCGTGCTGTTGATTATGAATACCTGTGGCCATCATGGCTCAAGAATGGGGTTTGAGAGAGAAGCTGTGCCCATTTTATGCACAAATAACTCAGCAGCGGTATCCTCAATTATAATTAATACACCTCAGACACAAAGACACAGCAACAGGATCTCTAGCCTAGGACAACCATGGGTGATATCAACACCTTGCACCACCAGAATCATTTCGACTCTGATGCTACAGGTTTCATGGTCTCCACTCTTGGGCTATTACCATTAAAATAGCTTTTGCACAAAGTTAAAGTGGAGGATTTGCTGCTTTTCCATGTCTTAAATGATTGTAAACTAAATATCTTTGAGTTCTGCACCTGAAGATGTCATCTTGGGCTGTGGAAACAGTTTATAGACCCAACATTTAACTGAAAACTTTTGAATGGAGCCATAATTTACTTTTAATTTGATTTGTGTTTGTATAATAATAAATATCTCTTTTAAAATAATCTGTTCTGCTTTGTTTTTAATGTTGCTATCTCTTGCATCTGTCTTTTTATGTGAATGTTTCGTCTTTCGTGCAGCACACTGTATTGCATCTTTATGTATGAAATATGCTATATAAACTTTAATATTGATGGATGGATAGACGGATATAGTGCAATGGTGCTTGTCATCTTCTGCTGCCATAGTGTACTTCCAGTATGATAAGATAAATCTATCTTATCTTGTTATGCGTTTCCTGAGGGTACATACGTTTATGCAGGTGTGGAAGCAGATCCTTATATAGAGGACGGTGTTGTGACAGCACAAGCACAAAGGAGAGACAGAAAAGCAGCTCCACTGCTTCATACTGCACAATGCCGGTCTGGGCACTACTGCCTAAAATCAGTCCTGGACAAAGGGAAAGAGAAAATAAGATTTGAGAATGATACTGCTTAAATAATCCCCCCCCCAAGATGTATTAAGGCGAAATGTTGCCTTTGTTGCTGATCCTAATGAGCCGATTGGCATACTCAGCCATATCCCATATCATCTGCAAGAAGTAGACAGGGTTCTTAGCAACAGTCTGACCAAAGGGCAAACTCTGGGCACACACATGGAACCTGAAGAGAAAAACAGAAAAACAGAAAGAGACAAAGGAGGAGAATACAGAGACGAGCCCTGCCCATTCAGGTATTTACATTCTGAGATAAAGGTACAGTTTTTTTTACAGGTGCTGAGTGCAGATATTGACTGACCACCTTCTGTGCTTACTTTAATAAGTTAATAGTCTGTGAAGTTCCTGATTTGTGTTTATCACAACCGTATTTCAATGCTTCAGGTAGGTAATGAAAACAAATTATTTGCAAATCTATTCAATCTGATATAAGTCATACAAAATAACAGACAGTGGTATCGATGCATATTATGTGACATAAGAAAAAAAACTTTACCTGCATGCATGAAGCAGCACCATTTTGTAGATGTTCTTGTAGACTGCCTCAAGAGAATTGGTCTGAGAAGGGAAAAGGGTATCGATTATTATATTCAACACAAAAGCAAAGGTGCAAAATTTTAACTAAAGTGACTGAAATAGAAAAATATATATAATTAATCAATCAGTTAATTGCAAAGATGTTTATGAAAGGTACACTCGAGTCTCTTTAATACATGATCCATAACGGTTCAGTGTGCTTTATTGAATGTTTCATTTAAAAGTGTTGCCAAAGCAGTTTGCAACAAAATCAAAAAAGTTTACATTTGAATATGACATAACAAGATTAATCCAATCAAGACCATTCAATTAGCAGTCATAAATTACAGCACCACTAACAAATACAGATAGAATGTAAACTACAAATAAAAGTGAACAAGATGTAACCTGCCATGCAGCGAACGTTATGCGCAACAGTCACTTGCTGTGCCTCATGTTGTGACACAGGGACACATACGTACATGGCAGCAAGGCTTGCCACATGTCCTCCAAGGATTAATTTATTGTTATCTTCAATTCTTTGAAATCCAGTATTAATAGATGGAATATCTCACAACATTACACTCTTATGCTTATATATTGAGCTTCTATTATTTATAAAAATGTGTCTCCTCCTCACCTGTTGTACTATATTCTTTTGATAACCAGGACTTTTTATGTTTCCCTTTTTCACTTGCGAGAGTGTGGTCATTGAGTCTGTGCTTGGTAAGAAGCTGCCTCTGCTTGATATCTTTGACAGTAGATAATCTCAGTTTAGGTCCAGATAACACTCTAGTTTGTGATGGGTTTTTTCTCTCTTCCTCCCAATATTTCAATTAAATATATTTGCTTTGAGTGAGCAATAACATAACTTATCTTTTTTGTTCCTTGACCTGTTTCACCATTTTTCCTGTACGTTTTTACTGATATTTACTGTCTATCTGCTACACTGTTTGCCTATTATTCATTGAAGTGAAATGTCACGACTTGTAAACTTAGGTCACCTTGGATATTTGGCTGTACATGTTGATAAATGTCGCTCGACCAGATTCAGGTTTCTACCTTTGTAAGCTGTGTCCTTTGAATGAGGAAACCCCTTCACTGTGGCACAGCTAAAGTATGTTTTTTCTGGAGCTGACTGTAACATGTACTGAAGTGGAGTCCAGAGCCTTTTTGAACAGAGTGGAAGTTTCAAAACCTTTGTAAAGAACCGGCCTTTAATCAAAAGCTGTGGGTACAGTGGAATGTTTCGTCAGCTTAACTTAAATAGAGACTGTGCTCACATTTTAGATAAATGTACTGTGTGTTATATGCTAGAGGTACCTAATAGGATCAATCAAGATCTGGCCCATTTTCAGTTAGGTCAGTGTCACGTCCAATAAAATTTAAATTACTCAATTCACATACACACAGCCAAAACATTATGACCACTGACAGGTTGAGTAACACTTATTATCTTGTTATTATGGCACCTGTCAGTAGGTGGGATATATTAGGCAGCAAGGGAACATTTTGTCCTCCAAGATGATAAGTTAGAAGCAGTAAAAATGGGATAAGGATTTGAGTGACTTTGACAAGGGCCAGATTGTGATGGCTAGACAACTGGGTCAGAGCATTTCCAAAACTGCAGCTCTCGTGGGGTGGTCCCCGTCTGCAGTGAGTACCTACAAAAGTGAAGAAGTTAGGAAAAGCGGTAAACCGGGTCCTGGCTCACTGATGCGGCTAGCCAGTGTGGTCCGATCCAACAAACGAGCTACTGTAAGGTTAAACTGCTGAAAAAGTGTCCGAAAGCGCCTACAATGGGCACGTGGGCATCAGAATGGACCACGGTGCAATTCTGAAAAACAAGTCCGATCCGTGGAGTCCCAACATCGCAACTTACAGGAATTAAAGGATCTGCTGCTAATGTCTTGGTGCCAGATACCACAGCACGCCTTCAGAGGTCTAGCAGAGTAAAATGCCTTGACGGGTCTGGGCGGTTTTGGCCGCAAAGGGGATCTATACAATATTAGACAGGTGGTCATAATGTTATGGCTGATGGGTGTATACCATTTCCTTAGTATATTTTCTAAAGATATTGTTTGAATGTATATTTGCCTATGACAACAAGACTGAGAGTCTACAGCCATGCTGGTGATTCTGTGCAGCTAACGTTTGCTATTTAGACCTAAACAC